TTTGATACAACCAATATTTATGGAGTTATGATGTGATAAACAATGGCTTACGGCGAGACACCTAATATTTTGGTTGTTGTATAACTTTTGAAAAAAAAATGTTTTTTTTTTTGCGTTTACAAATACTTTAGAACCTCCTCTGCAACATATCCGAAAATCGAGCAAAAGTAGTTTTTGACCAATTGAAATAGTGTGGAATGCCTCTTATATGTTTTTATCATGGGTCTGAGAATAGTATGTAGTTCTGAACAAAAACAAATAATTCATATAAAAATGCTCAAGGATTTAAACTAAATTTTCTTCTTTCAAAATTTTTTAAATCAGTTTTCAGTTCTCAAGAAACAAATGACCATATTTATTTCTTCTGGAAATTTTAAGCAACGTCAAATTACTTTTAAAAGCAACGGGAATAAAGAAAACTTTTTCTTGTTATTCTTCTTGAGAGTTGGAAACTAAGCTTTATGGAGGAGAATGGAGTTCCAAATCTTATCTTCCTTCGGATCCTACTGAAATTTCTTTTGGGTTAATGAAATGCAATCGAACTGCTTTCGTTATTTTTTGTAAAGAAATCATTTTGTTTACGAATATGTGATTTTATAAGTAACAAAAAAGGTAGTCAATAAGGCATAAAAAGTGGTTCGGAGAAATCAGCAGGGCAATAGTTATTACCCCAATATATTTATTCCTATAGAGCGTATTCTCTGTAGTGCATAACACTCTTCATCGACATGTATATTTTTATTCATATTTGTATGTATATATACTACGCTTAAATAACATTGTTTTCCTTTTATTTACTTTTTTCAGATATCAAAAAATGGGGATTTTCATGTTAACGTTGATATGCCGGAGAGTTAAATACCATAATATGCGAAATTTTAACCAAAAAAATTTGCTGTCAAATAAAAAAAAAATATTAATAAAATATACCTTTTGTAATATTACGTGGCTTATAGGTAATACAATTTTTCACTTGGGCTTACACTGGTGAAATGTGTGATGCATAAGTACAAAGTACGTATGTATGTATGTATGTATGTATGCATATGCGGCTCTATAGAAGTTTATGCAGTTCCGATATAAAAATAATGTGATATATGCATTTGATTGCTGATGCGTTGATTAAAAACAATGGCTTTTGTCCAAAGCACATTAGGTGAAAAAGTACGAGAGTTCGTAAATATGCGGTTGGCTTGTTGGCGTTACCGAACGACTACTAAATGCAAAGTGATGGTTCGCCATTGAATGACGAGACGCGAATGTTGTCAAATGAAATGTGGCCAGGGTTGCCACTGACGAAAAAAAATATTTACCATCCACTTGGAAAAAATCTACCAAATCTGGAAAATATCTACCAATAACCTATTTTTACATGGTGACATGGTATTTGAGATCATATTAATGGCATCTTCGCGGTTTTTCTTAAACCAAAAGCGAAAGTGGTGAAACTAAAGGCAACAACGAAACTTTATCATTAAAAAAGCGCTTGGTATTTTTTTAAATATTTTAAGTAAACATTTTTTTGTTCTTTTTTTATAAGAAAATGGTTTTCGCTTTAACTAAACGCATACAAATCAAGGACGTTTACAACATTCCGAAAAAATCAAAAATATTTCGTCTAAATTTCGAACTTTTTACTCTGATTTTTTAGAACTATTTTCGGTGTGCATGGAATTGTGTGTAACCAACAATGTGCAGCTAAAAACTCCATTTGATTCAAAAAATATATTTGCCGCCGGAACTTTGTGTTTTAATTTTCATTTGATATTTATAAAAACTTGCGGTGATTTTATATTTTTTTTTTGTACAATCATAGCGTGTAAATACAAGCCTGTCCATTTTTTCTTTTTTTTAAAGAAACATTTAAAATGCTCATATGTTCAAAGGCTCCTCAAGATTTCAGTGAAATGAGTTTTTAATAGAGCACGATTTGTTCGCGTTTTATCGATATACATACTCACATATGTAAATATGTATGTATGTACGTATATAAAAAGTGTGCATTAAGCATTCCAAAATTAATGCAATAAAGAAGACTACACTTTTGGAAATAAAATCATAATACAAAGATAACTACGTAAAATAAAGCGGGAACAAAATTTTAGTCGGTTTTCAAATAAAATACTTTAACAAAAGTGTACCAGAATGAGAAAAAATTTACCTTTTTACCAACGCAAATTTTTTCTACCAATTTTGGTAATAATTTACCAAAGTGGCAACTCTGAATGTGGCAGACTTAAATGATAACTGAGTGGAGATAATTGAAAAAAAAAACATACACGTATGCACAAGAAAGAATACAATGTATGCACATACCTATTTGCAGTTAAAATGAATTAAATTTTATTGAAGCAATATAAATCAGTTAAATAAAAATATATTCATAATTAAAACGACTCACTGAAATTAAAAACTCATAAAATTTTACACCATTATTTCCAGGACAAATTAAATTGAAAATATTTTGATATTGTGAAAGGGGTATTCAAAGCAAAGTCATAGTTAGTTTGACTCTAATCTTCTAATCTGTATCCCCGCTAAATATATTGCGCAGGTTCTTAAAGGTTCCAGCAGCCAAGAACGTAAGTCTCCTCATTGTGCAGGACATTGGCAGAGCAAAAGCCTTTCGGACTCAGGCTTTTTATAGTTTTTGCAGTTCCGGCCGAGTACAATTTGAGGCAGCCTATCTTTCCGCCTCCCTAAAATGATGTGACCTGAAAAAAGTCTCGCACTATTTTCAAGTTCCATTTCATACCCATTAATTTGGTTGTTTAGCAGGTATCTAAGTATTTCCATTTTGCACTGGCTTTTGAAAAAAATAATTTAGAGCGCAATTTCCTTTCGCTCTTAAACATTCGACAGCTTCTCTTATAACCGGAAGTGTGCCTCCGAAGGCACTGCAGTGGCATGGTATGCGGTACGAATTTTCTAGTTCTAGTTGTTCCTTCAGCTAACTAGATCGATCAGCGTAGGAACAAATTATGTCATTAACCTCAGATTGGCGACTACTGTCAAAAATTGCTTCACAGCTGGATAAGTAGGTTTCGTAGTCTTACAGCACCACACAGAACCCTACCTAGGAATGCTATTAGACTGTAATATTGGAAGGAAGCTAAAGGAATAGGGCTGATCTACTTCGGCTTGATATGCGATTTATCTCCTAGTTTGCAGGCTTTCCTCCTTCGTCTCTATCCAAGCGGCGCCATCAGTTCTCTGCATTCAACCTGGGACTATTCGGCATTCCCTGCGTTTACTTCTCGCCATCGCAGATTTCATGTTGCGGCAGAAGCCATATCACACGATTATTTTTGCTTTTCTTAATGCTCTCACTCAACGACCTACAGGTTCTGTTTACAGAAGCGGAGGCCTGTACAAGTTTTTCAGACCTTCGATTTGCCCATTTCACCAATTTCTTCTGCCTGTAGGCTTCTTACTTCGGCAAACTTGATTTAGCTGCCTATAAGAAGCGCTCATAAGCAGACAAGGGTCAAATTTGATCCAATCCGGATCGCCTTCCCCCATTTTTCTTTCGTTGAGATTTTATGATAAAAGTGGGATCATTAATTGTTGCTTATTACGAGCTCAGTACTAATAAACAAGTCAAAAACTAACTCACCCCAACCTGAGATGGCTCCTGTTTATGTCGAGCCTGACCGTAATTTTTAGTTTGGTCTTAGCTCCTGAATTCGGATAATATCTGCCGCTAGTATGGAGCAGCAATGCATTTTAAGCGGCTAAACTGTGATGTTGGTTGGTTTGTAAGATGCGCATCCTGTTTCCTTTATCACTGTGGAGTTCGCCGCGTCGCCTGATAGTTTTCTTTCCTCTTGTCTTTCCGCGTTGGAATTCAAAAATAGGCCATATAAGAATCGGAATGAGTCATATTCATTTATCGTATTGTCCACCAGGTAAGCTGATAAAAGTCTATTTTCTCCTCAATACTGATGGTTGGCTTGACCTAAGCTAACTAATTTTTCGACGAATTAGGGTCATTACAGCTAGGAAACTGTATTTAATTGTTCACCGCTTAAATATTAGCCCAGTTGCTCGGCTCGGGATTTAATACCCTCCAGTTACGAGCGGGTAGATCTGACTTGAAGCGCCTGATAATATCAATACTCTTCGCTCCTCATCGAGATGATTCTGAAGTCGACAGCTCTCAGTTTCTCTCCGGCACAGCCTTAGCCCAGGCAGTCAACCGCCGCTTTATTACATAAACGCCCGGGACCTCACATCATCGCACGCCACGATTTTGGGTACGATTCAATCGAGTATTCCTTTACCTTTGCATGACTATTTGGTAGGTATTTTGTTTTTCATAAATGCGTTTATCGTAAAGCCTACTTTAGGATGCCTTCCGACACGAAATATTGCAAAGCATCTGACTATTTTGTTGCAAAGCATAGTATATCAAAGTAGTGGAAATCGAAAATTGAAATTTCCTCATTGTTTTGCACTAAGCAGGTTTGTATACACTTGTTATAATGTAGAATTAGAAAGCATCAGATAAATGCATTTGAAAAAAACTTAATCAAAAGTAGAAAATAAAAAAAATTTAACAAACGCAAATCAAACTGCGGAAATGAGTTCAATTGGAGTGAAAAACCTACTGAGGTAGAGAGTGTTTCCAAACAAAAGGGAAAGTAAAATTTATTAAAAAGAAATTTATAAGCAGATTGAATAAAAATGTAAGTGAAAAGCATTATCCCGCGAACAAGTGACGCGACAGCACGTCTACGTCTGCTTAAATGGCCGCGACTGGGTACTGAGGTAAGCCCAACCTGCCCTTCAGCTTTGCACTTAACGCACATCACACCACCCCAAAATGTCACTCAAAGCACTACAGAATGACATTGCGGTGTAAAGTATTTCTTGGAGAAACCAAAAAAGTTGCGACAAAAAAGCCAATGAAAATTACTAAACAAGTGAATTGAAAGAAAAACGCGAGCAACGACAACGTCGTCTTCCATTAAAAACCAAACAAAAATAATATCTTCATTCCTCCTCCCCGACCAACAGATAAGAAAATAAATACCAATAAAAACTAAGCAAACAAAGTATACGCACACGCACTCCTACACACCGCCTACCCGTACACACACAACCACACACACACACACACTCGCAACACACAATGCTGCGTAGCTGTGTGTGTTTGGGTGGTGGCGCGAAACGACGTAGCTCCTCGCTAGAGGATACCTCATCGTGCCGGTCATCCGAAATTGAACGTGTGGCCAAACGCATGGAGACCATGACCGTCTATACGAAAACCACATCGACCGCAAAAACGACAACCACAACAACAAGCAAATTACAGCAGCAGCAGCAGCAGCAACAGCAACAGTTGCAGCAAAGCAACGGCAGCGGCCGCAGTACCACTTCCAGTCTATTGCAGTTCTTCCAATCGAAAACGTGGTACCGGCATTGGCGAAAAACGGAACGCTCGATGAGCATGTCAAAGACCGAACGAAGTGAGTCATAGTTGTTAAGAATATTTGCACATGCATATAACAGTAAATACAGTACATATACATATGTATGTGTGTATACACATTTTAAAATATTTAATTGAAATGAGTGAAAGGAATGACGTGATAGGTGCATGGAAGGCGAATACTTTGATTGGGCGCATAAAAATGCCAGTTAATTAAATTGAGTTAACAGTACGCCTAAGCAATCAAAGTTTATGGTTGGGTTGAGATTGAATTCTTCGCGTCCGGTGCGGAGCAAAGTAAATATTTATTTGTTTAATAAAACCTATTTTCGTATAAATACNAATGAGCATGTCAAAGACCGAACGAAGTGAGTCATAGTTGTTAAGAATATTTGCACATGCATATAACAGTAAATACAGTACATACATATATGTATGTATGTATACACATTTTAAAGTATTTAATTGAAATGAGTGAAAGGAATGACGTGATAGGTGCATGGAAGGCGAATACTTTGATTGGGCGCATAAAAATGCCAGTTGATTAAATTGAGTTAATAGTACGCCTAAGCAATCAAAGTTTATGGTTGGGTTGATATGGAATTCTTCGCGTCCGGTGCGAAGCAAAGTAAATATTTATTTGTTTAATAAAACCTATTTTCGTATAAATACCACTGAAGGTACTAAATTTAGCAAGCTGCCTAAATACATAAAGCTCAAGTGACGCGTGAAGCGAGTTGATTATAAACGCCGTGTTTGTACGAGTACTTATTATAACAATAATAATATTAATGAAAAATTAGGCGGACAGTGTAGGCAAGGGACATTACTATGAAGGTGAAACTAAGCTACAGCTGGTATACGTCACTAAAAATAGGCAGTTAAATATGCGGGTATTTAATATTTATAACTAATAAATATATATGTTCCATATGAATATTTACTGTAGTACACCTGCTGACTTTTTGGACATGTCAAAAGCAGAGGTAAAAATAAGATTTATAAGCACATGGCAAGTCTAAATAAAGAAGGAAACAACTGTGCATTATATACAGGGGCAAAAATATAAATAGGGAAGAGACATTTTTGCATTCCCTTTCTATTATTTAATGTTTATTATTTTTTTTTTATCAAAAAAAAAACCATGTAAGTAAAAATTTTAAACTTTGTACAGAAATTATAAAAAATCGACAAAGCTTCATCAAAATTTTGCGCTTTTTATATATATATTTTAAGCAGCTAGGTCTTACCGTTGATTTTTGGCAAATTTTTTTTCGTCGAAGGTGTTGGTCATTTTCTCCATACAAAGAAAAATTGTCGAACATATTTTGTATGGAAGAAACAAATTGCCAAAAATCAATGGTAAATCCTAGCTAGCTCAGACTTGCACTACATCATAAACTTAATGGGCTACAAAACTGCATTCTAAAAAATCCGATTAAAATGTAAAGTTTGAAATTTCGATTTACCTTTCTTTTTTTTTAATTTCGTATAAAATAGTAATAAATTTGTAAACAAAGAAAACTAGCTAAAACGTGCTAAAATGTCTTCCCTATTTGCATTCTCGCCACCGTGCGTTGCATAAGTACGTCACGTCGTGACGCGTCATGCGGCTAGTATTGCATGAATGTTGAGCATACGCCATGTCCGACCCAGTTGTGTAAAAAAATAAATGCGTATTAAGGGATGGAAACGCAAAAAAAAAAGTGACGTAGTTGAAAAAATGACGACAGATCGGTGATTTTAGAGGTGATTGGTTGGTACTAAAGTGCTGCACAAGCCCACTTGGTTTCACCTGAACAATAAAGTGACATATTGTCTAGACCAGTGGTTTTCCAACTTTTAGAAGCCGCGACCCCTTAGATTTATAAAAAAGGTTGTTTCGTACGAGGAGTGAAAACATGGGCGCCCCATTAAAATCTTCTTTATCACAAAGAGGTGAGGTGGTTGTCCAAGGAAAATGTGATATTGAATTGAGATCGGAATTCAATATTCAGACATTTTTAGTCAGTTGAACATCTCAAACGAGTGTTTGCAACGGAGAGGCGATTACATGATATCGGCCAAAGATAAACTAAAAGAATTTAATAAAAAAAAAAATTGAAATATGGTCAACTTCTCTACAACAACTGCAATTTGATTCATCCGATTAATTGGTGAGCGATTGTATTCCGTAGCTTGATTGAAGGATTGCAAAATTAAACAAAAGGAACTATACCGCTATGTTCCCAAAGAGGTACAGGAAGATAACGGCAATTACTCTGTATTAAATCCATTCATAAGTAGCAAAAACAATGAATGCAAATTATTTAATTTAGCTCGTGAACCCCAGCAAGGGTGCCGCGACCCACCAGTGATCGTGACCCACCGTTTTAAACCAATGGTCTGGACGCAATTTTTTTTATCACTTACAGCAACGAGGCAGAAAGTACACCCACATGCAACACTATTTCACCACCCCTTCAGGATTTCTTCGGTATTTTGCGGGTTTTTTTAATATATTTTTTGGGTTTCCTCAGGACCGCTTGGATATGTTTCATGGTTTTCCGAGATGGTTGATAATTTTTACATTTTCGGCTAATAATTTTTACATTTCGATACATTTTTAATTTTTATTTTTGTCATATTAAGACCATTATTTTCGAATGTAAGTTTTTAGGTCATGCAATATTTAAATCGGTCACAAATTATCGAAAAAAATTCAAATCCAAAAATCGATTATTTACTATCGAAAAAATAAAATTTCAAAATAACGATTAAATTTCACCGAAAAATTAAAACTCTAAAGTTAACGATTATTAGTGTTCGATTTTGCAACGATATAAAAATAAAGATCTTGATATTTAGCGGCTATTTTTTGAGAGCATCTAGCATTTTTCGGGTCTTTTCCGGTATTTTTTCCGTTTTATCAGGAGTATTCGGAATTTTTTGAACTGTGCGGGGTTTCGGGACTTCTCGGAATTACTTTTATACACAATACTATTCTATTCAGTTGTTAGAGAATACAGATGCCGGCTTTAGTTCGATAAATAGAGCCCTACCAATTCAATTGTGTATAGATTATTTAGCTGCGATTCGATCTATGAATAGTATTGTTAGCTACCTGATAGAATTTGGATAAATCTGTATATTGAAACCGTTACGAATAAGGTATCTTTTAAAAATTACTTGTAATGTCAGTGTGGTCAGATTACAGTATTTTGTTCTTGGTAAAAATTAAGTAATATAAATAGACTAATTTTTTGACGATTCGAATCGATTCAAAGATCAATGTTGTGTATTTCGATCTGCCATCTCTATTAGAGAACACAAAAATTAATTTTGCACGCGATATTTCGTTAGGTAAAAGTAAATATTTAAATACTTGAATGCTGAGCATTTGTCTTATGACATAATTTTAAATCTGTAATTTGCAGCAAATGCTTTTTATTTTTTAATTAAATATATCTATCATGTTTTCAAATATATTTATTTAATATTCAAACTATTTTCATATACCAATTCACAACATAATATAAACAATTAAGGATCAAAACACCTATTTTCCTATAAAACAATAATTTCAACTACCTCATGCAATTACCAATTTACGTGGCAATACAAATAATGATATAAATTATCGCAATAACTGTAACCAGTTGACAGTTAGTTGTCATTTGTCAGAAAACTTTCGTAATATATCGACAGCTCTTCATGCGTGCTATAACGACGACAACTTCGTATTGCATAATTATGTATGTACTTAGATACGGGTAGGTATGGCTATGGGTAAATACCTCTATATTTGTTTGTAAATAGCGCGCTCAGTACAACAGGCATGTGATAAACTGTTCCCACATACTTACTTAATACGTTACGACATGTGTATAGCCGGCTGTCTCTGGAAATTTGTTTCCATACATACATACTATATTTATGCATTCAGATAAATTGACTAAGTTCTAGGTGTGTTCTAAAGCCATTACTTATTACTTGCTTTCAACCGATACAAATCACATACATACATATTTGAAGAAGTACCTGATTAATTGAGCTGCACATAGAAGTGGTTGATTGATGCCAACTGATCTGATTTAAAGTTCTTTACAAATTCATTTTAACACGAAAATTTTCCATTTTACGGCGAAAGTGGCGTACTTCTTTTGTAAAGTTAGTACAAATTAAGATGATAATATTAATTTATAATACACAATTAGCCGGTTTTACCAGCAACTTAAATGCAATATTATTTTTTTCCGTAAATTTCCATATAAAATGCAAAAAAATTCAAATAATTTTTCATTTAAATTGTTTTCTTGAAATTGGCTGTAAGACTAATTGTTTGGTAACTAGTAACTTAAAAACATCGCCATTACTGCGACCCCATTCATTTGTGTGCCTGCTTAAAAAAATCTTGTTCCACGTGTGTGCTCACCAAACTTTGCAGACGACAAGCACAAAATGCTTCTAAAGTTGTTTAATTGCATAGGAATTGAAGGCACGTAGCTTCTGTCAATTAATTTTTTTTAGAATTAGTAAGTTTGAAGTGTGTGAATCACTTGAAAGTCACGTCTATATTAAAGTAATGGAGTGTTTAACTTAATGTACGTATGTATGTAAATTAGGGTGGTCCACCAAAAATGCATGTGAAAAGGTAAAGTTGAAATTTTAATGCTCTCCCCCCTAGGATTGTTTTATACCGAAAAATATGTATACCCTAATTTTAAATTTTGAAATCATTCGATATTTAGAGGTCGCTCAAAGCGCTCAAAGTTTTCCATGTATTTTGAATGCAGTGAGGGGGAAAAATATGCAAATCCATCAGAAACGTAGTTGATCTTACTATAAACGTCAACGAATGTACTGTATATTGACAAATATTTAATTCAACTACGCGCATATTAAAATGACCGTGGTCGTTATGAAAAAAAAATATATATATTTAATTTGCATGTTGCCTGCAATGGAATTCTAACCCAGATCCTCTCTGGATATCAACAAATTTTGGCAAACATCTTTGCATACTCAGCTACGGCAACACATTTATGTAAATGTGTT